GTATGTATGTACGTATGTATGTACGTATGTATGTACGTAAGTACGTATGTATGTATGTACGTACATACATACGTACGTACGTACGTACGTACGTACGTACGTATGTATGTATGTATGTATGTATGTATGTATGTATGTATGTATGTATGTATGTATGTATGTATGTATGTATGTATGTATGTATGTATGTATGTATGTATGATGTATGTATGTACGTACGTATGTATGTATGTATGTATGTATGTATGTATGTATGTATGTATGTATGTATGTATGTATGTATGTATGTATGTATGTATGTATGTATGTATGTATGTATGCACGTACGCAAGCAAACACACAAGCACACACTCTTTCTCTTTTCTTTCCTCTTCTTCTTCCCGCTCCCCACAAAAAAAAGAACAACCTTTGTCTTTCTGTGTCTGCATCCCTCTTTCTTTCTCTCTTTCTTTCTTTCTTTCTCTTTCTTTCTCTCTTTCTTTCTTTCTTTCTTTCTTTCTTTCTCTCTCTCTCTCTCTTTTTCTTTGGCTATCCATCCATCCATCCATCCATCCATCCATCCATCCATCCATCCATCCATCCATTCATCCATCCTTCTATCTATCTATCTATCTATCTATCTATCTATCTATCTATCTATCTATCTATCTATTCAAAATAGTTAAACTCATCGCCTACTAGATCTATTATATTCTCCACAGTATTTAACACATCAAATGTAACACTAACCAATGCATTCCAGTGACCAGGGTGTCCACTTTCGGTTACTCAGGCAGATAATGGTTCTGGTACTCCTACTCAACAGATACCAACCGTCGGCACACGAGATATGGAGTTTCGTCCCTAGAGTACAGTGGCGGGATGTGTCATTACAAGACCCACTGTGAACTGTGAGTTTTTGCCCAAGTCCCAAGATAGGCTTCTGACAGTGGCCTGTTGTTGGAAGGGAAATGTCATGCATATTATAATGAAATAAAATACAGACTTCAACATAAGTTAAGGACCACTTGCAAACACTCTGAGTGGTCTTCTTGGTTCGACCTGCACGTGGGCGTTCTTGGACTAATAATAATAATAATAAATAGCATTTATTCTGCGCATTTCCATTTTTTAAAAGATGCTCAAACCGGACAAAATAGCATTAGAGTAATCTAATTTTGACAAAATGAGTGTTGTTACAAGTGTCTTGGCTGCTGCTTTAATTAAATAATTTCTTACACTGCCAATTTTCTTAAGCTGAAAGTAAATACTTTTGCTGAGATGGCTAATTTGGGAGGACATAGACATATCATAATCAACTGAACCCCTAGATTTTTAAGACTTCTTTTTGAACGAATGGTATGGTTATTAATATCAATTTGTAGTTCTGGGAGATTTTTAAAGGCTTTCGTATTTCCACCCAACATTATTTCTGTTTTGTCATCATTTAGTTTCAATTTATTGCTGGTCATCCATATTTTTAAATCTCTAGTACATAGTTCAGTAGAGTCGACTAAAAGTGGTATTTAATCGAAATCAATAGACTTATAAATTTGAGTGTCATCAGCATAAAGATGATAATTCATGCCATATTGTTTTAAAATATCAGCAATAGGTTGTGTATACATTGTCCAAGAACAGACCCCCGAGGAACACCACATCTAAGCAAAACATTATCAGAATACGTGCTTCCAACCACAACTGCTTGTGTTCGATCTTTAAAATATGACTCAAACCATCGCAGGACAGTACCCTTTATGTCAAAAGTAGTATTTAATCTCTCGAGTAAAATGTCATGATCAATGGTATCAAATGCAGCCGAAAGGTCCAAAAGAGTAAGAAGACATACCTTTTTTTCATCAAGATATTTTAAAATATCAGTACAGACCCTGAGTAACACTGTCTCGGTACTATGGTGTGCCTTATATGCTGACTAATAGACTTCGCTAAGATTATTTACTTTAATATGATGTAACAGTCTATTAGACACAACTTTTTCCAGAATTTTGGATAGGAAATAAAGATTTGAAACTGGTCTAAAGTTTTTAAAGTCCCTTTCATCAAGTCCAGCTTTTTTCAAAAGGGGTCTTACATGTGCTGTCTTAAAGCAATTTGGTACTGTACCTGTGAGGAGAGAATCATTTACAATGTGGGTGATATGTGGAAGAAGTTCATGCAAACATTTTTTTT